TTTTTTTTTCTCCCCACTAGTTTTAGGGATACAAGGTTCAGGAAAAGCAAACACAAGGCATTTCAGTTCGACAGATATATATAGATACACACGCGCACGCTTGTTTTGCAGCCATTTTTAGCCCCTGGTGCCAGCGATACCATTGTCCTCTTACGGCTGATGTTTGCATGCTATTAAAAAAACATGTTCTAAACAGCAGGGCTAAACTGGTTTACTCATATGTGAATTTCATTTTTTCATATTTACAACCTCACACAATCATTCGTATGACTATTTTTAGTAAGGGTGGGCATCGCAGTCACAGCCTCTCAAGAACAGCACCTTTGTCATAGCCATTTACCCAAGAGCCTTACAATTTATGAAGAAACATGATTTTCATAAAGTAGGAATTATATTCAATAGTTAGGCATGCATCAACATTGTGAAAAGTCTACTTCCAGGTAATTTGGCTGACATGATGCTAAAAAAAACAAGGAAAAAGGAAGAAAAAAAAAATAAATCAGAGTTGCTAAGCCAGTTTCACTGACTTCCCTGTTCTAATCCCTGGGAAAATACTTCCTCCCAGAAAAGATGTTATGTGGGTGTGCTTGAAAACATCTGAGACTCTCAAGGAACACATTCTTTTTGTGGCATACGTTGAAACATTTCTAAAAGCGATAAATGACAGTTTCACAGCCACCTATCCAAATTTAAATGGAAAACAGAACAATCCTTTCTCAAATAGACAAAGGCCAAGTTATCATACCTCTCCTCGAGCTTCATGGACTGTCATTTAAAAATAGGACAAGACGACAACATCTCCCCTTTACTCTACTGTACCAGTCATCTCCTGCTGGTTTCCTGCTAACAGAGCTCTTCCCCCTCACCTCCCAGGGACATTACATTAGTCACACATCATTTTCTGTAGATCCTGGGCCACCAGAACAAAAATACAGAATGCAATACATTCATTTACAAAAAAGGCCTTACTGTTCTCTTTCGTGTTGTGTAAAGGCTTAACTGATCATCTACCCCACTTACAGAGAAAGGCGAGAGAGTTTTAGTCTAGCACGTCATTCACAGCATTCTGTGAGTCTCTGAAAAGTGCTTTTTGGTTAAGAGTTTTACAGAAACTCTATACAGAGACCTCTTTGCTTTTTTTTTTAATAAAAAAAAATATGTAACTTAAAATGCAGCATTACAGCCAAAGCTTGCACTGGTTTTGAAGCCATCCTTAGAAATTCTATCAGCTATAGTAGAAAACTGCATCCTTTTCAAAGGACCATGTTTCATACTGGTTGAAGTCAGTTCTTAATCCACAAATTTCACTGTTAAATAAAAGAGTAAAACCAGAAATACTGCAGTTTTTACGGCAGTTTTAACACTGCAAAATAAAACTTGACCAATTTCTAAAATTAAATACTTCATATGCCCCTTAGAAAAGTTTATTCAAATACACATAGCACCTCAGGATATCTGCACACCACTGAGTAAATCGCTATAAAATTATATCTTAGCATATACGGCTACCAGTAAGTCCCGAAGTGAAGCCAAGAACAACTTAACATGCCAGATATATATTCCAACACGACTGGCCCTGCTGCTCTAAACAAACCACACTGAGAACGCAGCGTTCTCAGAGTCCCAGGTCTGCCTTCCTCCAACCTGGGAGCGCGAAAGGGAAGGGGGATTTGCAAGGCCAACCGCAGAAACCAGAGGGATGCCAAGGTGCAGAAACCTACAGTGTCACAGTCACAGACAGACTACCCGGATCTGCACTGCACTAGGACTAACAGGCTCCAGGATTCAACTTCTAGAAATAAATACACACACACACTCTCTTTATAAAAATATATATTTTCATAGCTGTAGCCACAGGTTTCTAAAATGAGCATCAGTTTCCAAATAACTCTCCTTTTCAATAGAGTATTTTTTAAAAACACTGAGGAACACTGTACAGAAAAAGGCAACAGAAAAAAAAAAAAATCAAAATGACAGAGGTAAATGGTGTGTGAAAAAACATGACAGACAAGCAAATGCAGCAAGGAAAATACCACTGATAGATGGAGGCAAGGTAAGAAGTAAGCCTGGTACCTAGCAACAAAACGATATACACAGATTTACTAGTAGGATTTCCAGAATTCTGCATCTAACTCTGTAAAATACAGTAGGAGAGTGTGAAATGATTCAAGTCGAAAACAGAAGACAAACAATCTTAAACAGAATAGAAGTTTGGAATGCCTAGAATTCAACTGGCACTTAGAAGTCATACTTACATTATTCTTCTGGCAAATAATTTCCTGGAACAAAAAAAGAAGAAAAAAAATAATGTTGACAGCACTGAACAACTACCAGGAAAGTTAATATTAGCAAGTCATACTGATGAACTAACATTTACAGGCACATGACAGGAAAAGGGTAGTTGGTAGATGTTTTCTATGCCTCTCAAATCAATATAAATCAAGTGTTGTCTCAGGAGAGACAAAAGGACTATGGAACTAAGTAGATACATCTTATAGATACACAGGAGCATATGCACTGCGTGCACGTGTATAAACATATATACACATGCTCATGCCCCTCCCTATATAAATTTTCCTAGAGGAGTTAAATATAGTAACTAATATTTTATTGCCAGCAGAAGAAACTGAAGAATAGTAAAAGTAGTATTTCTATGAGGTTTTAAAATATTCCAAAATTGTTTGAAAGTCACATTGCTCTAGTAAGTCTGATGCATAGAATGTATCTTCCCATTTTAAATATAAAGTTCCCGAGAAGAAGGCAGAGCATACATGGATGGAAAGGGCTGGTTCTTGCACGCTAATCTGGGTGGTACAGCCCAAGTGTGAACCACTTGCAGACGGTGACCTTGCTTTCAGGAAGATTTGTCAGCAAGTTCTGATCCCAGCCACCGAGAACCCTGCCAGATTTATCGCACAGCTACACTACACCTCTGCCGCTGGGACCGCTGAGCAGCTTCACCTACACCGCAGCATTAAAAACAAACTCCGTGTCAAACCAAGGCACCTCGTACTTTCCACGTTGCGTAAGTCAGGCTTCCGTAAAACTGCTCTTCACCCTGTTGAGCGGGCATGTTTCACATGACTGTTGCTAGCTTTTGAAGTCTGGGACATAAATATCTAGTCCAACCCGCCTGCCATGGGCAGGGACATCTTTCACTAGATCAGGTTGCTCAAAGCCCTGTCCAGCCTGACCTGACCGTTCCATCTAAAGGAACTTTCCACCAGCAAAATTTTACCTATGTTGCTTTGCATACCCCAGTCAAATCGTGTGCTGCAGTTTTGTATTTCCTACATTGTCACGATCATTTTCAGTTTTCTAATTCACCACTTTCCATACGAGGTTAAAACTGCACACACACTCCTGCATTGCTTCTACTCTATCTGCTGGCTATAACAAATACAGGAACAAACATTGCCTCAGAAGATGCCCAGGCATGCCTATAACTACTTTTTTTCAGGCAGTTACTAAATAATACGGAAAGGGATTTGCTCTCTGACGACTTTCCTGCAAACTATCAAGATCAGAAACACAGGCCCAGCTCAAAGTTAAAGGAAACGGAAGGGAGACTTTCAGTGGGCACTGTACCAGTGGCAACTGGGACATCCAAGTCTCCCTGCGCAGAACAGGGCTTCCTCTGGCGTCAGTGGGAACCCTGCACGTGGCCCATTTGTAAGGTCCAGCTCCTAAACCAGCTCTTCTCCCAAGAGCCCAAGGAAGCCTGGTGCCTCACTCAAAGAGATTTTCAGTGGGAGCTGGGTATTTGGCTCCTTGCCCAGCACAATGAAAGTCTGCCCTGCTTATACTGTAGATCATTGCACTTGCATAATTCAATTCAATCCACAGATAGGACTTTTGTCATTAGCAGTTTTATTTTTAGGGCTTTTATCTGTATACTTTTTGTGTTGTAAAAAGAAAGGGAACAATTGGATTGCAACCAGTCCAGTTGGCTGCAAAAAATCTGGACAGAAGAGCAGGGGGAAGAAACTGAGTTACTCAAGGTATGGCCCTCCCAATAGACGGCCAAGCTGCAAATAACGGGACAGAATCAAACCCAAATAGCCTGCACTAGCCAGAAATAGCAGAAGCAAACCCTTCACGAGAGGCGGCAATGCCCAGATTGCAGTCTGACTCAGCAAGCTGCTTACTTGAAACGCTTCTTTGCAGTGATGCCTAGAATGGCAGCGCAATAGCATAAATCACCTCCCGATCAGAGCAAATCAATCCGAGCGAGGGGAAGTAATTGAGAAGACCGCCATCCAAGTTGCCTGCTCTCCCCATCCCCATGGAAGTTACTAAACCTTTAGTAGAGTTGCAGGAAGAAGCAAGTATCATCTCCCTGGCTGACACAACTCACAGCCCCATAGATTATCTTCAACCACCACCTTGCCTTAAACCAACCTACCGTACCATGAACTGCAGCCCTGAGGACCAGGCACAAGTTTTGTTTTTACTAACTCTGCTACGCTGCCAGTAACCTCCAGCACAGCCATCCTGCAGGTACCTGATGTAAACAGCTGTCACTCAGCAAGACATACCAGAGGCCAGCTGGGGCCCCATCAGGTTTGGCAGAAAACTTCTACTTTACACAGGAGGTAACACTGAAAGATTATTTTGCTGCCCTCTACACACCGCCATTCTCACCAGATTGTTATTACTGTTAACAGTTTACCCCAAACACCAGTAGTTCAATGACAAAACCATGTATTTCATTTCTCATCTCAAATCTGTCAAACCTCTGTTTCTGTAAAGAGCCACTTAACACCTAGGTATTTAACTGACTGTGACAAAGTCATCTAAATCTTTCTCTTGGGAAAACTAAACTGACATTTTGAGCATTTCACTATGGACATGTTTTCCAGGTCTCAAAGTATTTTTGCTATTCTTTTGTGAACCACGAGTGGCATCTGTATTTCCTACAGAAACAAAGGACCTATTTCAGGAGTTGGACCAACTGTGACTTGCCCCCCCGCACACCCCATTTTTCCATTCGGAGCTACCTTCAGTGACTGCAGAGACTCCGCGTTCGTATCACAGTAGAGGATAATGTTGTTAGCCATGCTGAAGCTCTCCCGGACTCCCAGGTGGTAGAACAGGGAAGGCTGACGGAAGGCATCACTCATCTCTACAACAGCAATATCTGCAGAAAGAAATGAAAAATTTATTGTCGATGCCATGCATTTCTGACAGTCAAATACTTCTAGGTCATGTATCTTCACATAGTTTGCTTTGGTAAGACCACCTGATTTTAAGTAGGAAATAAGAGATCTAGAGGGATTTCCCTACTTTAGCTGTTACGTCTGAATTTTGAACGTAGTCAGCAGGATGTGGTTTAATTTTTTCTCATTTCTTTCTTCCTTCCTGACTCCCCCCTTTTTTTTTTTCCTTTAAACGAGACCTTCATTTCCTCAGGTAAAAAGAGGTAAAAGATCACAAATCAAGAAAAGGCAAAAAGTTCATTTGATGCCATAAAAAATAAAATCTGTTTGGTTAATTTACACATGATGATTGATGACCTTATGGAAAAAAAAAAAGGGTGGGGAAATTATATTTGCTGTGTTTCTTCACCCTCTGTGCAAGTCGCAATAAAAATTCATGCAATATATGTACATCACTGCAGAACATACTGTATAGATTCTGTATTAGAACTTTGGAAGAAAACAGCTGTAAACTGATAGGCAGGCAAAGGTAAAGTTCCAATATAATTACGATCCAGATCTACTTTGATTCCTACAGAAAGACTAGACAAAGAACAGGACAAGGTACAGCAGAAGAGGAAGAAATAGGGAGTGAACATCTAAAGCCACAGAAACCCCCATACAGGTAAGAAATTTATTGGGCAGAGAATTCTGTTCATAATAAATTCTACCGGCATGCATAAAATTAAGCACATGCACAAATGCTTACAGACAAGGAATGCGGTCCACAGTTGCTCTTAAAACATGTTTTACTTGCCCAGCTTCACACCAATGTGTGTAAAAATAAAACAAGAGGCAATACAAAGCATCAGCAGAAATAGTTAAGGCTTCTACTGTAACAGGCTGCATACTTCCACTGCAAAAGTCTTGTGGGGTCAAGAGAGCAAAACAAGAAAACTGGCTCATGTCCACCTCTCCTGCAAACATCCTTCTGTCTCTTCACCCAATTCAGTTTTTTCTTTTCTTTCATAAAAAACACACAAACAAACTTTTTTCAGAGAAATACACTTCTGTTAATAGTAGAACAAAAAAAGCAGCCTGGTTTCCAGTGTCTGCCCCTGCCTTCCCCTTGCTGCGGATGTTTTCATTACAGAAAAGACAAATAGCAAGGCAAGATCTGTAGGCAAAAAGCTTACATACTCTGTAGGCAAAAAGCTTACATACTCTCAAGTTTCTCTACTTGATCTAATAAGAAATTCTACCTCTAACCACAACTTTTCACCTTGTCCATTTACTTAGATCATCAAAACTATAATGAAGATATTCAATAAAAGAAAAGCCCTGTGTCCATGCTCCCAAGTGGGAAGACAGTAAGGATGCCTCTCCAACTTGTTGAAAAGTTAACATCTTTGAGACATCTACTCTTCAGTCATCCTTTACTGAAACTGGCCTACCGGCTTAGAAATTATTAAAAAGCTGAAGCAAGATACACACAGGTGGATGAACAGACAACATTTGCCTCTACAAGCTTAGGTACTTCAAGAAACAAGATTAGAAGAGAGGAGACTAACATGGTATAAAAAAGCTTCCCCCCCCCCCCTCAAAAATCTAATATTAAATTATGTTTTCTAAAGGTTTCATAATTTCTGTTCTAAGAATCTCCCTCTCTCTCCCAATTTCACATAAATATTTGCAGTGTGGATTCCACCAAATACATTTTATTGAAGTAGAAAAGGCAGTGTGCATTGCTAACTGCTGACTTTCATTAATTTTAGGAAACTGAGACATCACAAAAGCCAAACAAGAATGACTATATTGCTATTATATTTTCTTTGGGTGTGATTAGGGCTTGTTTGTTTATTTTCTTTAGGAAGTTGCCATAATACAAGCTCTATTTTTAACTACTCTTACTCATATAAAAGTTTAATCTTGAGCAACTGCAAGTCTACCGTACATTTCTGTTAACACTGAGCAGGAGGAAAATTTGCGCAACTTGCCATGACTTAATTCTCAAATCTTGCAAGGTAACATGCTCTCACTAGAGTTGCAAAACTAAGATTAAAAGAGAAATACTACATAAAGAAGAAAAATAAAGTGATGGAGCCTGATCAAAGTCACAATATAGAAAATATTTGAGAAATCCTATGTTAAAATGGCAAGTTCCCAGGACCATGAAGAAGGAAAGAGTAACTCTTAAAAAAAATTATACTTGTGTGTATATGTATGCGTGTATACACTTATATATATATGTATACACACACACACATAACTGTCAAGATCAGCTGGCGAAATCCATTTAACACAATCTGACTCAGGGCCATACCGTAAGAAATGTTCCTGGGTTCTGTCCTATCTCTATCATAGCAATAATAAACCAAAACAAAACACAAAAGCCCCAAGTTACTTAAACAGAGTAAGTAAGAAAAATTACATTAAGGTACTGGTATAAACTCTGTGGTGACACTTGTCTGTCTTACGTAGTGAAAGAAGATCTCTTTCCTTTACATGTCAAGACTACTGTGAAATCCAGGTCTTCTGGATAATCTCATTTAATAAAGCAGTATCTTCCTTAGAATAGGTCCAGCTTCTATGAAGTCTTCCTTCTCGCTCTAGCAGTTATGTATTTTTAAGATGAAGTTGTCGTTCATGACAAAGAGATCAGATTTCTAAAGTCCAGGTTAGCCCTCAGGGCTGGTATCACAGTTTCCAAGGGGAACAGCCCAATTCCTACCTGCAATTCCAACAAGCCACAAAAAGTATGTGCACTTTTAGGACCAGGTGTCTATCCAATAAAAAACCTATACCCTAAACCAGCTCTTCTGACAGACCCATTTCTGACTGTCTTTCACAACATCAGCAGAGAAACTCCTCTGACCAAAGGAGGGATCAGTGCATGGAGCACTGGTCAGCAGTTCAGAAGCCAAATAGAAAGCAGCAAATGGAAGCTCATTTGAAAAAAAAAGGTGTCTATCCAATAAAAAACCTATACCCTAAACCAGCTCTTCTGACAGACCCATTTCTGACTGTCTTTCACAACATTATAAAGCATCTGAAATGTACTGTCAAGTGCACTACAAAGCAGCTAAATATTATATCCATTTACACAAAGTATGATTAGAAGTTTAGCACAGCAGAGCAAGACTGATGGTTTTCAAGACAAATCTAAGTCAAGTAAACATATATCAAAATTCTTGCTAGTTCAGAAGAATCAGGATTTGGCTAAGGCCAAGAGAACCATTTGGTCATCAATATGTAAACTGCCAGCATCGCATTTATCAGGCTCTCTCTCATTTCCCCCAGATGAAATTAATGTAACCGCCTGCTGCAATGAAAGATGTTTTCCCATTTGCTGGAAAATACAAGTGCCAAAATGGTATTTTAATAAAAGTGGAAGAATTATCTCCACAGTTACACTGGAATAAAAGCCACTTATCCAAGTATTTACAGTTTCAGTTTCAAGGCAAGTAATAATTGATCAAGCACAGGAATCAGAGTAGAGCCCTCTCAACAGCGTGCTTCATCCTGAGGGCTTAGGTGAAGACCAGGGACTGACAATTCACTCCAAACGCTCTTGCACATCTTCTAGGCTGCAGCGAAGAAGGTCTGCGCAGGCTCCCGCAGACTAATGAGCGGGGCGGGCAGGGAAGCGCGCTGCGCAAAACAGGAGCAAGAGACAGGGAATTGGAAGAATCGCCATTCTTGCAACCCCACCAGTTGGGCAAGAGTAAGTTTTATCCCTTACTTTGGTCGTAGGCACAAGATTAAATTTCACTTTCTCTGCCTCACGGAAGTGGACCTGGTTACAGATCACTGATACTATTTAAAGCAAACAGGGATATGATCTTCATCTCTGCTACTCATCATTGACATTACGACTGAAAAGTCTCACAATAAATCCTACAACCAATTATTGTGTCTTGCTAGTTTATGAACAATAAAGTAAGTCTAGCCACCAGCTTCTCTCCCATCTCCTTAAACAACCGGCGTGCCTACACGGACGGGACCAAAGCGTATCATACGCATGAGACTAGAGCTCAGCCATGGCCTAGGTAGCAGAAGCAGCGTAAACACAGCAGCAGGTCGGTCAGTAAGCTCTTGGTGGCCGTTTTCTAAACCGCTCCGAGCTTTGCCTGCCTGCTGACAGCAACCAAGCTGCCTGTAACGAAGCTGTACCTATATACTAGCTGGGTAACCACACGCCGAGCTGCAGACATGGCAACAACCACAGAGCAGTCACACTCTACGTTAGTAGGCTAACTAACGTCTACACCAGCAACAGCTTGAAACACACTGTCACACATGCAAGAGAACAAAATACCACCACACTGGGAATGGGCTTCCTATTACCCTGGGAAGCCAGATTCATGTGATGGAACTGGAGGCAGTGGACTTGACCCTTCTCACTCGAGAAGCATGGGAAAAGGGACACATCTCTCCAAAGTCTGGCATGTATTACAACTGTGTTACCAACAATTCTTACTTGCAGTGTAAATCCACTTAGCTCTTTTTAAGCTATCTGTGCAAAGCCCGAGATCTTCACACGTAAAAATCTCTATTAATTAACCTTTCTTAAGAAATGGTAAAAACTTAAGATTATACACAATAACATGGTCAAGAAGGGTAAGTGTCCATTACAGGATATGAAGCCCTTTGCCCTTGGCTATAAGCAATGCCTTTAGTCACCAAGAAAGCGATAAATAAAACACAGTGGTCAAAGTTCATCTCCTACTCATTGTTTAAAATATAACAGGGCAAAGAAGAATGTTTAAACAAATGCTCTGAGATATCATACACGTACACCCTGCCTTTTGATACTACCTGCTTACTACACTGCTGCCGGGAAAAATAATGAATATAAACAAAGCAGCTGTAAAACTAATGAATGTTTATGTTTGGTATTATCTTCTGATTAATTGGTATTAAACACATGGCTGTTACCTTACATTCATTGTCCCACAATTAATCAGGGCAAAAGGAAAGCTGATAATGGCAACTTCCAAGA